TATAAGCAAAAGACCAGAGGTAGAAGAACACCCGAAATGGGACTATTCTAGCACCCAGGAGGCTGAGAGCTTGAGGCCAGTCTGAGCTACAAAGTGAGTTCTAGGCCAGCCTCAACCACATAATGAAACTGTGTCTCAAAAAAGACAAAGGTGAAGGACGAGAGAGAGAAAAAGGGAGAGAGAGAGAGAGAGAGAGAGAGAGAGAGAGAGAGAGAGAGAGAGAGAAAGAGAGAGAGAGAGAGACAGACAGACAGACAGACAGACAGGAATCAGAAGTTGACTCTCTTACCTCATAGAGGAATCAGTCATATCTTCTGCCTAGGCTCCTCCTACTAAGTAAAGATAGTTCAACAAAATGAATAGAAGCCATGGGATTTTTTTTTTTTTTGGCATTTTCATTCCTATTTGAATTTGTTTTTACAGAGTGTTTGCCTCAAAATGTGCTCTATGACATTTGACATAGAAAAAAAGTAGAGAAAGAGGTCACCTCTGTAGAAATTAGATTCTTATGACTTAGCTTAATAAGACTATAATTTCGCTTTGGGATAAAAGACATTGCACAAAGCTGCTGGACTCTTGATTGTACTTAACACAAAACTTCCTGAAGAGGGAAGGGTGCTTCAGGAAATTAAAGGCAGTTGTCTTTTAATCAAGAACATTTTCTCCAGAAAAAGGGCCTTCCAGTGCACTTGGATGCTTACACACTTCCCTAAGAGGCAGGACTTAAAGGATGAAGTTCATGACCCACAGGAAGCACAGGCAGCAGACAGAGCTGAAATGGAACCATAGCAGCAGAAAAATAAGAGGTATTGGACTCCTGTCCTGCATCCAACAGAAGAGGTGGTTCATGTGATATTAAAGCTCTTGACACTAATACTTGGAGTTCAGGAAATCAGAGCAGATGTGAGTGCAAATTTAGATATTGAAAGTTTTGAGCTGTGGAAAATTCAATTGATTTTTTTCACACTTAACATTCCATAAATACACAGCATATTATTGAATAACACAGAGTCACAAAGTTAAGCAGTGATTGGGTTGAAAAAATGCTTATGTTATACTGAGTTGAGTTCATGAAACAATTTTTCATAACCATGCCCTGATTTAAAGTACTTGTTAGCATATTTATATAAGAGTGAGCCAGGAAAATGGGATGGAGACATATTCCATTTTTTCTTTGATCATACTCATTGTGGGGATACTGTGATTCTTACAGGTCTCTCATGAGACGTATTATATGTGCATAAAGAATTTTTACTGCCCAAAATCAAACATCATTAAAATGAAATAATAAGATTTGTGTGCAGACAATATTTGAAGAATGTAGCAAATAATGGAAAACCAATAGAGTAGTATTTCTGATACTATTATTATCAAAACTCGTATGCACCCTCAATGAAAAATGAATAATTAGATATCAGAATAAGTATTATGCAAAAAAATTCATTTATCTAATCTCCATGTTTACTTGGGTTGGTTTCTTTATGTGTTCTTGACCACAGTGAGTCACCCTCAACTAGGACAAATTACTCCACCATGAAAAGTGAGCCTGTCCTCAAAGCAGAAGCCATCATCTCACTCAGAGGACCAAACTGGTCCCTCAAGCGATGATGATTCTCCCAGAATCTCACAAAACCAGTCCTGAGACATAGTGCTACCTCAGTTCACAAACTTAATTTATTCCATGATTCTGGTTGCAAACCACATACACTCGCCCCATAAAGTTTGATGTAAATAAGGTTAATCCTTTTAAAGAATATGTATATTTTCCAACCACCAAAATATGAACCACAGTACAGTATCATATGAAGAGAGAAAATACTAACCTTGTTTGATGCAACCTCTGGCATGGAGAAAGGAAGGTGGGTGGGGAGGAGGTTAATATTTGGAGAGAGAGCCCTCCCCATGAGGGCATCAGGGAAATCTCTTTCCAGTTTCCTGTCTTCTTTCCTCTAAGCTACACAGTAAATTTTGATTAACAATCTGTCTAATGTCACTTGAAAATCAAGTGATTTTTCCGTGATGTAAAACTCTTCAGAAATGAGAGACCACACTACTTTTCATTAGATTTCACATTGTTCATTGCTGTTATGTTGGATGGTGCTCTTCAAAGAAATTCTGCCACTCGTTCCATTTTTCCATAATGGATTTTGTCACATCACTGCTTGCCCCTTGCCCGTCTTCTTTTTTAGTGAAATGCTCCTCACAAGTGCCTTCTACTGCTTACTCCTATGTTCTGCGAGTTCTTCCACCACCAGCTTTTCTTTATGGTCCTCAACAATCTCCTCTATAGATGCACCACAGATGTGCAGACCTGTCCTCTTACCCATGGACAAACTCTCCTCCATTACCTGTGCATCAGACCCTTCAAAGTCATGCTCACTGACATATTCTGGTTACAATTTCTTCAGGCTGAGTTTAAGGTCTAGAACATGACACCCTCCCAGGCTTTGTCAGCAAAGCCAATGCAATGGAAGACCCTGAAATGTTTGTTCCAAAACTTTCAGAGATAAGGTCATTTCTTTAGTGACATTAAAACATCTGTTGAAGAGCACCTTTGTGTACAGCTTCTTGAAATTTCAGATCACTTGCTGTTCCACTAGGTGCACAGGAGGTAGCACATTGATTTGGAGGAGATATGACCTTTATGAAGTTGTACTCAGTGTCCAGATCTTCCACCAAGGCTAGAAACTGTGCCAGGCATTGTTTATCAGAGAAGGGTGTCTTTAAGGAAGGTGGTGGTTGTCAAAAAGATATTGCTTAATGGTGGCAGCAAACAACTTGTATAGTCATTCCAGGAACAATCACCATGTGACTCAAGCTTTCATTTTGGTTTTTCACAGGACAGTAATCTGGCCTTGGTCATATTGTGTTCCTTAAATGCCCAAGGGGTCTGGGAGTTGTCCACCAGAACTGGCTTATCTTCAGACTGGTGCTTGCATTCACACACAGGAAAAGGTCGATATGCCTTTTCTTGGCTTGGGTCACAGCAGTGCCTTTTCCTCCTGAGTGGTATAGATTCTGTTTGGCACTTTTTTCCAAAAGAGCGCTGTTTCATCAGAACACTTCTGAATGACATATCCTGCCTTCATGAATTCTATGAATTCTTTCTTATAGTTTTCTGCAACAGTTTTCTTAGAACTGAAAGCCTCATCAGGTTTTATCACACAATAGATACCACTTCTCTTGTGGAAATTATCAAATCACACTCTACTGGCTTTAAATTCACAATTTTTGCACTTTTTGAGGGGTTTTGTCAGTAAATCACTACTTTTTATATATCCTAGTTTCACAAATGCTAATATCTCCAGCTCTTTACAACACAAACACAGTAACAAAAGACTCCTTCAAAAGAATAAAGACTATTGACTTTGCCATGTTGTACTATGGAGCCCAAAGTGTCACACAAATACCATGTGTATGCTTTTATACAATTCCCTTCTTTAATTCAGTGGCTACTTTCTTCAAAATCTTCTTGTGCTGTACACTTGTATATTACCTTCATTATATACACATTCTTTCCACCTTCATTACTGCTCTGCACTTTCCTTGGAGGCATGCTGGACTGAATAATCCTGTATAGTACTGTGCATGTTTAAAAGCACACAGAAAATGCACATGATGGTGCTCACCTGTAATAAAGCACTTGGGAGTTTGAGGCAGGAAGACTGTTGTGATTTCAAGACCAGCCTGAGCTCAAGGCCAGCCTAAATTGCATAGTAATACCCTGTCTGAAAAAGACCAAAAAACCCAAAACAAACAAAACCACAAAAAGTTTCACATAGCAAGTGGGCACAGATCTGTCTTCAAATGCAGCCTCAACTAGAGGAAGCCATGTGTCAGAATGGAGACGATGATCACCTACCTGACTTGAGTTCCCAAATGGAAGCAAAACTTTATGGAACACTTCTGTGCACAAAGTAAATTCTTTGCAAACTGATTTTTTTTTTTTGTCAATCGAAGTATTGCTGTACTGATCAATCACAGACAACTTTACTAGGATTAACTAAATTGCTAGATGTACAAAATCCTCGCTACACAGCACCCCTCGCCAACCCTTGTCCCTTATCCCCTTTTCTATAAAACCCTTAAGCTTTTGCAACTCTCTCAGGAACTGATCTTAACTCTTCATCTGTGCTTCCCAGCATGGAAATCCAAGTTAGAGCTTCTCTCCCAAGCTGAACCCTTCATGAATTGCACTGTGGTGCTGGTGGCCCAGCTTGTTCATCAGAAATTCCAGACTAAGACTTTTGCTCCAAAATTTTGTTGAAAGTTCTCTGTTTAATCGTCAGAGTCTAACAAGGCCATTTCTTCTTATTTCCTATCGTATCTTTTCCTTATAAGAACACAAACCTATGTTTTCACAACATGGTTAAATTCTACATTAGTGAATATAAACTATATAAACTGTTGATGGTTTTCCAAATCAGTTAATAATGTTATTCAGAAAGATTTATGATTTAATCTTTGGATTTTGAAAACACATGTTTAAAAGCTTTAAAAGAAATTTTAGGAGATGGATAATTTTTATATGAATGCATAAAAAAGCTGCCAAAATTTTATAGTGTGAATTTCACAACTATTTATGGAAAAATATTAATAGAAAATAAGTCTGTGTTTCATAATATTTAGACATCAGATCTAATATATTAGGAATTTTCTACCAACAGATTTTTAAAGAGTAACAGTTTCCCTAGGAATAAAACTTTCACGATTCAGTCTTAATGAAAAGTGGAGGGAGAGAGTGGAGCTCAGTACCTGAATGTAAAAAGCTCTTCTTTCCATTCTTGGTATCTCAAAAAAAAAAAAAAAAAAAAAAAAAAAAAAAAAAAAAACCATAAAAGAATAAACAATAAAAGATGGAGATATTTTCACTATGTATTTAAATTATACTTATGGAGCATAAGACAGTGAAAAATTCTTCCTATTTCCAACACATCGAAAGAAAAAAAAAAATGTTGAGGGAATCCGTGTGAATTAATGAGAACATGCTGAATGCTCACTTTGAACTCCGTGGGACCGGACTATTTTCCAGGTTTCTGATGCCACTTCTTTGACATCCACTTGGTAGTGGTGAATAGGCACACCTCCATGGGAGTCCGGTTTGTTGAAAGAAATCTTAGCTGTGGTCTGTGACAGCTCTATCACTTTCACTCCATAGGGACTGGACGGCACATCTACGAAGGAACAAACACAGAAACAGAACCCAAGTCATCTGAATGGCTATTGGTAAGATGATCATTGTAAGACTCACACTCCTATGGAAATTATGAATAAGGGAAATTTGCTATCTGCATCATTTGTTTCAATTACAAAGCTCACTTAACACCTGGCTGAGCACTTTAATTTGGAAGAATCAATGAGGAGTCATATACTATTATAGCAGATAACAGTAAAATATTCAGGAAATAAACTGTTAAATATTTATTGAGGAAATATTTGAGGTCTGAGATTTCTATTCTATATAAACATTTTTAGAGTCAAGGCAAATAGGTTTATTGATTTGTTTAAGTTTGTGTGTAAATAAGCTTTCGTGTGTGAGTGAAATGAAAACAGACATAGGGAAAGAAAAAGAATAACTGAAATGTAACAGTAAATAAATATATTATTTAGCATTGCTATAGATAATATTTTGAAAAGTATAGATTTGTTTATCAATGTTAAATTGCTGAATTTAAGGGAAGTATTAATGTCTGAACTAAATAATATTGTAAGCTGTCAGTGATAATATCATTTATATCACTTATATCTCACTTAATTACAAAAAACTTTCAGGGTTCCTTTCCTCCCTGCAGCTTTGCCTGCCTCTGTTATTGATTTCTTGATGGTAGCTATTCTTTATGCAGTGAGCTGGAATCTCAGTGTTGTTTTACATTTCATTTCTCGAATGACCAGTGATGGTGACATATATTTACTGCCTACTCATTTCAGATGCTTATCTTTTTTTCATACTGGGAATCAAACTCAGATCTTGCACTTGCCAGTTGGGCACTATGCTACTGAGGTATATTCCAGGCCCCAGATACTCATTTTTCAATTGTGTCCTTCAATTTGAAAGACTTTTTTTGTTGTTGTTCTTTATGTTTTCTACATATTCGTTCTATATGAGGAGTAGTTGTTAAGACCTGGTTCCCATTCTGAGGGTTGTCTCTTCACTCTGTTGTTGCTTTCTTTTGCTGTGAAAAAACTTTTATTTGATGTGATCCCAGTTGTTGATTCTTTGTAATATTTCCTGTGCAATCAAAATTTTTATGATACAGTCTTTACCTGCAGCAATGTCTTCAAGAATTTTCCTATTATATCTTCCACCAAGTTGTTTCTGTCTTTATATTTAGACCTTTGAATTATTTCTATTTTACTTTAGTGCATGGTGAGAAATATGGGTCCTGGTTTAGTCTTGGGCTTGTGGAAAGCCAGTTTTCCCAACATCATTTATTAAAAGGTTATCTTTCTTCCAGTGAGAGTGTTTGGCCCCTTTGTCAAAGTACAGTAGAGTGTTGTTGGAGTTGTTTCTGCATCTTCTGTGAATTTGGTTCTTAATTGTAGAAGTCTTTTGGTGGAATTTTTGAGGTCTTATATGTAGAGTATCATATCATCTCTGAATAATGATAAGTTTGATTTCCTCCTTTCCTATCCATATTCCTTTCATTTCGTTCTCTTGTATAAGTGATCTGGATAATCTTTCCAGAACTATACTGAACAGGAGTGGTGACAGTGGACATCCTCATCTTTTTCCTGATGTTATAGTGAAAGCTTTCAGTTTTTGACCATTTAGTATGATATTGGCTGTTGGTTTATCATAGATGGTTTTTGTCAGATTGAGATAAAGTCCTTCACCTTGAATTTTCTGCATGTTTTTTTATCATGATTGTGTGTTGCACTTTTTCAAATGCTTATTTTGTATGTATTGAGATGATGATGTGTTTTTCTTCATGGTTCTGTGTATTACATTATTGATTTGCATAAGGTAAAACATTGCTCCATTCCTGGGAAGAATCCTACTTGTATAATCTTTTTTGATTTCTTGCATTCTGTTTGTCAGTGTCTTACTGAATATTCTTGCATCTGTGTTCACTAAGAAGATGGCCTATAGTTTTCTTTTTGGGTTGGATCCTTTTCCATTTTGTGCATCAGGTTAATATTTGCATCCATGAAGGATTTTGTGAGTATCACTCCTTTTCAATTGCCTTAAGCAGTTTGAGGAATAGTGACCTTAGATCTCCTATGAAGTTCTTAACGGAATTCAACAATGAATCTGTCATGACCTGAGTTTTTCTTTATTGGTAGTTTTTAATTAGTTCTTCAATTTAATTAACTAATATTGGGTTATTTAGAATTTTTATAACATCTTGACTCAGTTTTGACAATTCATAGTCTAGAAATCTGCCCATTACTTCCGACTTTTCTATCTTATTAGAGGACAGTTTCTCAAATTAAATATTATCTTCTAGATTTGTGAATGATACATTATGATTTCCCTCTTTTAATTCCTAATTGCATAGATTTGAGTCCTTTCTTTCCTTTTTTTTGATAAAGTTCACTAACGGTTTTCCTATTTTATTTAATCTTTCAAACAACCAATGCTTTGATTCATTGATTCTTTGTATTTTTTTCTTAGCCTCAATGGAAATAATTTTTGATCTGATCTTTCCTTCCTCACATGAGATTTGGGGTTTAACTTGCTCTTGTATTTTTAGCACCGTGAGGTTCAACATTAGGCTATTAGAGCTTGTATTTTTTCATGTGTGGGATTCAACACTATAAATTTGCCTCATAGGACTGCTTTCCTTGCCTCACATAATTTCTGGCATGTCATGCTGGCATTATCATTTAATTAAAATATTCTTAAACATTGAAAAATATGGTTATTTCAGCAAATGAATGTTTTTAGAATCAGTATCACAAAATCATTAATATAAAAACCTCAAATAACAGTCCAGTCAGATGAGCCTCATTTGCTGGAACACTAGCATAGCACTATAGATTGTAAGAAATAAGATGTGTAATATTGCTGGGCAGGAGCCAGGGAACATGCTTATAATTTTAAAGATATAAACTGTGCAAATAATTTTTATGTAGTTTATTATATCATAATTACATGATTCAAAAATAGAACTGTTGAATACACACAGATCTACAAATCGTATTTTTTGGAAAATCTTACAACCTTTAACTTATCTAAATAAGGTAACTTGTCATATGTAAATATTCAGATTTTGTGTTTTTTAATCTCTATGTTAAAGTGGAGGTGTTTACAGCTGTATGTTTGCTCCAAACATTCACCTGTCGGTGTGGTCTAATGCAGAGGGGTAAAAATAAGCATGGGTTGCGTGGTATGACTGACAATCCTTCAGCCCACAACGAACAACTCTCTTCTTTTTATTAGCTTGAAATTGGACTTCGCAACAATCATGATCCTCAGTTCGGAGATATGAGTCATAAGTAAAAATGGACATAGTGGGGGATGAGGTAGGGATAAATCCTCTCGCTCTCGATTATATGATATACATATCATCTCTTCATCTTACTCTGACTCTAGAGTAAGCTGCGTTCCCTGACACTGTGCATCTATAAAGAAATGATCCTGTGTACTATTAGCACAATGTTAGCACCATTCACTCGCAGGCCACAGCTATCCTGTTTTGGACGTATAGTCCTTTTTAAAATCTGCTCACACTTACTCTGGCGTTTCATGTTTTATTCATCTTTTATTTCTGCTATCTGGTTAAAAGTATATATATATATATATATATATATATATATATATATATATAATTGTAGATCTTGTGTCTCTTTACATTGTTTACATTCTGAGTGTGTATGTCCAACTACATCTTGACTTTTAACATTAAATGTAATCTATTATGGAGTGACTACTGAATTATAAGTTTCATAAGAAAAGAAACAAATACTTTGTGTACACATATTTACAAATATATCTACATATATAATGTAACATTGAGCAAAGAAATGTAAATGGAGTTCTAGGGAAATATTTCATAAATTATATATTTCAGAAATTAAAGCTAACATATAAAATCTGTGAAGCAATACATTTGTGAAACAACTATATTTAAAGGTTCTACAATGTGCATTACTTCTAAAGAGCATATTGTACAAAATCATTGCATACCAATTTACCTATCAATTTTTAAAAATCTGAAATACAAGAGAAATCATGTCTAGTAGTATCTGATACTCCTATAATCAATATATCTTTTTCACTTTTATGTCAATTGTTTGATGTCCATCTTTGTTTCTTCTGTCTTGCACATATTACAATTAATTTCTACATTATTTCAATAATTTCTGTATTATACCTCCTGCTATTTTATCTTTTTTTGCAATGTAATCTCCCATATTCAGGCCCCATCTGCCTTCATTAGCAATGGCAATGGCTTTTGCCTTCCTTTTTAATCTGATTTTCTGCAAAACTTCAATCCATGTGCATGTTAATGCAAGATCAATTATCTAAAGACCCTCTTTAATTATTTGACTTCCCCAAAAAGGACATACAGGAGTTTCACTTTCTTTATAATATCAAACTTAAGTCTCTTCAATAGTCTCTTTCTCTCAATATTCTAGGTTACCTAACATACATTAGTGTGTGCAAACAGATGGTCACTGTGTAAAAGACAAGCCCAGCCCAATAATTCAATTGTGTATATGGGTCTTCAGGTTCAGAAACGGAGCTCTTCTTACTAACATACTTTCTAAATTACTTCCTAGTACCTTTCATCTTTCAATGGTTAAATGTGACCATAGAAAAAATAATAACTGGAAAGAACAGAAACTATACTAGTATACTTGATGAACTAAACTTTGTTTTCCCCTCAACTAGTGTTGATTCAATATTGGACTAAGGGCTATGTGATACGATCTATAGATCCCAAATCTAGATTTGCCACTTTTTTCCATTGCAATTTTGAACACAATATCCCTTACTCTTGTCATGCATCAGTATTTATTTCTCTAAAATGGAGTTTAAATAATACCCACTGCTAAGGTTACTGGGAGAATCATATAATATGGAACATTCAAATAAGAACCTGGAATACACTAAGCTTTTAGTAAATGATTAGTCAGTGAGTACAGTTTTGTTACCTCTACTGGTAACTACCCATTTTCAATGTGCCATTTGAATAGTAGGAAATGGCTACATTACCAAATTTTGTCATAGAAATCTATACCTTGAATAATAGCACAAAACAGTTGCCATGGTATACAAGTCAGATAGGAAAATACTAAATATTTTCTGTGAATAAATTACTGTATATTGTGTAAATCTCATCAAGATAATGATCTGTATCCATGTTTCTCCAGGGTTACAAGTTTTCGTATCCTAAAAAACACTTCTGATCACTTTTCAAGTTGTTCTTAATACATAAACATAAATCATTTGTAAGTAAAGGTAATATGTAATATGGCTTTGATATGGCTATATCTATATAAAGAAACATACTTATAGATTTCAGAAATTCACACTAGTTATAAGGAAGTTTACCCATTTTTAATATTTTGAATTAATATTTATCATGGATGGTTATCTGGACAGGCAATGATCAACTCATTACCACTTAATTTGATGTAACATGTGACATCAATTTTTGTAGAATTAATTGGCCTCTGTAAAGCTTTCCTTGTATTCCTAAAGACAGATATTGTATTTCCCACAATTTTCATTGACAGTAATCTTCTAATGCTATTATGGTAGAAAAAATTAGCTTGCTTTCTTCTTCATCTCTCACTCTATCCTCTTTCTCTTACTATAACTTTATCTCATTCTATTATTTTCTAATTCCTTTCAATTCCTTCCACACAGTCTTTTCTCCCTTCTCTTGCAACCAAGACAAACTTAAATAATAATTGGTTTTGCAAGTTACATACTAGTTTGAGTATTATGTTCTTAGTATAACTTTTAAAATATTAAAAAATTTCTTTCTGTTTTTTCAACTAAGAGACAAAATTTACAAAACAAAAATACTAATATTTTCTAAATACATATATGTATAATTAGTTACATTAAGAAAGTATTGAAAATTATTTTAAATTTGTCCAAATAAAATATGATTCTATTAAAACGTAAATGATAATAATTTGCTGATATTTACCTATCTAATCTAGGTTATTTTTCAAGCTGATATATAGAAATAACATATAGAAAAAACAGTTTTAAAATGTTTGTTATGTAAAAGTTCCAATTATTTACACTAAATGTAATCAATATATACTTCAAACATGTATTAATAAAAATCAAAAAATGCTCTTTTTTCAAATTTCTAGCTACTCTTGTTAAACGTAATTGCACACAACATAATTATATATATCTAACTAAAACAGATGGATTTCCAGTTAATTTCATATATTTAGGCTTTAAAGAACAAGAATATGTTATACTTAAAAAAACTTTTCAATAAGTCACATAATCTTAAATTTTCAATTTTCTTTAAAAGTTAGACTTTTGTATGCATAAAAATTTTAAACATGTTATATAATCTTAAATTTTCATTTTTCTTTAAAAGTAAGATTGTTGTTTGTTCTTTTAAATATGGAAATTTGAAATCAGTTCACTGGGGTTCATTTTCTCTGAATGTGTTTATTTTTCAAATTTTTTGGAATCAAATTTTACTTTATTTAAAACATGATTTGATTTCTTAATACATTTTACCTACTTACATAAATATGTCTCACAAATGCGGGATCATTAGATTCAGAAATAAAAGCAATCTTAGATAAATAGATTAAATTCTCCATCTATTACAAATATCAAATCTCCATATGACAAATATCAAATCAAAAGTTTTAAGCACTGGATCTGTGATTTATGAAAATTTAGTAAGTATCTTTTTAATATGAAAAATTAGATGATGCCATGCTATTTAAAATTTGATTCATTTACAGTAATATGATCTCAAAAAAATAGTGTGGCATACTTACCAGCTAAGGCAAGAATATATTCTTGAAATCTTGTTCCTATACGATTAGTAGCTGTACAATTATATCGTCCAAAGTCATTGTCTGATGTAGGAGCAATCTAATATAAATACAATAAAAGTTATGTTACAATGCCAAAATATCAAAAAGGTTTTAAAAGGTTCTAGTATAGTCACTATTTGGACATAAATTTAACTTCTTCCCCAAATTCCTCAACTCTTCATCATGTAGGCATTAGTAAATAATCATTTACAAATGTAATCCATAAATCTATACCATCCTTAGGACTTGGGAAACCATAACTTCTCTATTAACTCATTAAATGAATCATTATCACAATTTTGATACAACTATTATAAAATTATTAGTCTTTTCCATATGTAAATTATAGAAAATAGTGCAGATGTATAATAGATATATAAGTATATATTTAAATCAGTGCAGTTGTGAATTTAAAAACAGGAATCTTGTCACCAAAGCAATATTAACTTTGTATTTTGGGATGATTTAGACTTCAAAATACATTAGATTTCTTACTTTTTCTTGAGTTTCCGAATATAAAATAATAACAAAGAAAAGCATTCTTTAAAAAATATTTCTAGGAAGGTATTTTGCAAGAAAATATTGCCCTTTTGTAGACCCCATAGACTCATATTTATCTTTAAATCTAACTATAGTAACTTTTCTCTACTTCTTGTTCAATTCCTATCATCATCCTTTAGCTTTGGTGGAAGACTAGCTGACCTCAGTCTTTACACATTGAAATCCATAATAAAGTTAACCTTCATGGATTATTTTGGTGAATGATAAGGCTAACCCTGTAATTCTATTGTATAGAAACTCTGAAGTATCAATTCAGAAAAGAGATTTGATGATGGTAATAGATATAATTTTCAATTGCAGTAACTATTTTTAAGAGAGAATATGCTTACAGCAAGATTTGCTTTTAAATTCAACTCTTTCGCAAAAGAAAAAAAATGATTTTGTGGTAATGGGAAGCTATTAACTAAGAGTGCAATTTTGAGGCCCATTGAAGATGCTGTTTCTAAATGAGTACAAAAGAGTAGTGTCATTCATTTTCTCAGTCAGCTGTCCATTTAGCCACACATCATAGGCATAAGACTCAGAAGTTCTAACAGCTCTTGCACTTCTAAATGATTCAAATATTCATTTTCTTACAAGCTGCTTTTAACGAACTAGGCAAGCTTAACTTTTAAATAATTTTATTAATGAGACACATTAAAAATATTTTTCTTTTCTACAAAATGCAGCATGAGAAAGTTTACTGTTTTGGTATATTCCAGAGGGAGGAATGTGTTTATTGAATCAATAAAATGCAGAGGCAAAATAATCACAACAAAATGGTGGCTACTATACAGTTCCTTAAGATTAATAACTTCAATATAGCTTTTTCCATGGAATCACTTTTAAAAGGCCAAGTTCATTTTTCCCCTATGATTTCAGCTATCAACAGGCAAAAGCTTTATACTTCTCTGTTAAATAAAAAATTCATTTATCACACTGCATGGCTAAAAAACAACAAAAAATGTACACCAGAAGCAAACAGTTTTAACATTAACCTGACCAAAAAATGCCCTGAAACATATTTGATATGTTCTATTGACAGCAATGTAACACTAAAGTCTAAGTCTGATTTGACATGCAAACTCAGTACAATGAAAGAGTCAAAATGTAAGATAATATATCCAAATACCTACTGTAAAACATTAAATAAGAAATAAATATGTAAGTGTACAAATCACTGCTGTTATTTATCAAAGAAATATTACGACATCTAATCATAATAATTTGTTTTCAATGTTAAATATCCAGTTCCAATAAATGAAGTTAAATTTTAATGATATTACATTTTGTGATGATTTAGACTGCAAAATACATTAGATTTCTTTTTCTTGAATTTCAGAATATAAAATAATAACCAAGAAAAGCATTCTTTAAAAAGTCTTTCTACGGGGCTGGGGATTTAGCTCAGCGGCATAAGCACCTGCCTTGCAAGCAGGTGGTTGTGAGTTCAATCCCCAGTACCGATAAAAAAAAAAATCTTTCTAGGAAGGCATTTTGCAAGAAAACATTGCCCTTTTGTAAATGCCCACAGACTTGTATTTTTCTTTATCTCTAACTATAGTAACTTCTGTCCATTTATGTTCAATTCCTATCATTTTTCACAAGGCATTTTGGATCAACAATTAATTTTTGAGACAAAGTATAATATTAATAAAGAGACTTAGTCTTTTATTCCTAATCCTTCATAGTTTGATTTCTTTCTATATATTCCATATTTAACAATATATATTTAATAGTATCCTTTAGAATAAGAAACAATCACACAGTTGATGTAAAATAGATTACCATTAGAAACAACCTGGTTGAAATTCCCTGCCATCAATGTTTGCTCTTATGTTTAAATCCTGTATTATTATGAAAGGGTGGTCAGATTAAAACAAAAACAAAAATTAAAAGAAAAGTGCTTATGACCATTGCAAGTGCAATAACTCAAAGAACTTAAAGTGTTTATATATTGAAATTTATATGCTTAAAATTTTAAGTATATATGATTAAGCAAATATTTTTAATAACTAAAAACTGTATTTTATATTCTATTACTCAATTATTTATTTTTACATTATTTTTACCTATATTTTATCATGTTTAAAAATTAACACTAAATATGGTAGTTTTGTGACAAAACATAATAAAAAGCATTATACCTTACAACTATGTGGCTATAAATTTTATATTAGCATTGCTTACATTGTTCTTTACTTCTAGGCTATTGTTGCTATATTGTGTTTTATATTATTAGTAATATACTGCATTTTTATTTCAAGATTTGTATTTAATCTTGAAATAAAATTATATATACATGATTTGCTCAAAACTATGCTTTAAACATCAGATCACATGGCTATGTATATTAAAAATTACATTTGATTTTAGCATTGGGAGAAATTTCATGTAACTAGCAAATATTATTTGTATTCATATTAATTTTAATTTACACAACTCCAATTTTATGATGAATTTAGCAGCTTTTAAACTGAATAAGGCTGCAAGAAATTTTCCAGTTGTGCTAATAATACTTTTCACAGTAAGATTTTTCACTCCAAATATAAATTAATGAAAATTAATAGTTTTCACTAAACACTTCTATTTCAGTGAAAATCGAATTATTCATAGTAATTTATCTATCATTCTGGTACTTAACTCTGACTCTTAAGTAAATAAATATGAAACATACATATGAAGATATATGTCAATATAAGTACATATTTCTATGTGAATATATTTAAATATATTCTGAAATAGTACATAATTGTATAAATAGCATAATTTATTATATATAAATCAGACTTACCTCTAATATCATTTTTATTCCTGCAATATATGTCTTTAAATTAGTGGTATTTTTAGCAGGTAAAACTAATTTCTCTTTTCTCCAATGGATAGATGCTGGTGGATTTGATTTCACATCACAACTTATATTGATTGGATTGCCTTCCCAAGAGTAATAAATTGTTTGGTTTGATATAAACTTAGGAGCATCTGTAAAACAACATGAACCAAAAATTTATGGGTGTCCCAAAATAATCATTTAGTTTATGTAAATTATACTGAGCATAAGTTATTATTTTTGAATAATAATGAAGTCATAATGATTCTAATTTCATATAGTAAAATATGTGGCAAAAACTACTGAAAATGTATTTGATTTGAATTTTTATCACAATATTTCAGTTATTAACATGAAAAACGAGACTATTAAATTACTAAAATATTGAAGCAATACACAGTAAAATTTGTTCTTATTAATTGACAAAACACTCATTGATTAAATTACTACCTAAATACATGTGAATATTTCAGGGACAACCCACATTATAAAGTGAGAGTTTAAGTTAAAAGTCAAAAACAGTAATGGTTTTTGTGTTATTATTTCATCTTGACTGAATAACAACAATTTTTTCTATAGTATAATGTGAAGCATGAATGAAATATAAATGTAAAGAAAAACAAAGTGACTAGATTTACAAGATTTATTTACTAGATTTATTTAAAGAGTTATATCTTTAATTACTAGAGCATATAGCTCAGTGGCACAGAACCTGCCTAGCAAGCAAAATATCTGAGTCCAATTCCTGATACAAAAAAACAAAAACAAAAAAAGCACTCTGTCTAAAAATGAACTTGAAATCACTCAGTTCTTATGATTCCCTATGGACTTTCAGGTCTTGACACCAGACTTGTACAGCAAGAGTTGAGAAGAAATAAAACATATATTTGACAATTTGAAACCTCAAAATATTACAAATTGGTGTACTGATATTTTACAAGTTAAAATTTATAAGGAAACTGTAATTAATTGCTGAAAAGGTCTTTTGACTTGTCTTTCCCTACTTGAAGCAAGCCACAGGTTCTTTTGATGAATATGTCTTTGGAATATCATCTGGAAAATAATCTTAAAAATTAGAGACATGTAAATGTCTCTGAATGTGGTAGGATCTTGGTATAGACACAAACCCAGAATCTCTTACATACATAAGATGTCCCTGAAGAAGAGATTTTCCTTGGAGAGGCCTTGATATTGCTACGCACTACCAAAACTCATAAAGACCATCATAGAAAACAAAATAAAATAGTTTTGAAACAAAAAAATATCAAGACAAAGGAGAAAATGCAAACTCAACCTTTAGACTTTCCAGAACAAGTGGAGACATAGACATAGGACAAACTGGAAGTCACATGTCTGAAATTTATGAAATGACAGCAACTGAAGAAAAGACACAACTCCATGTGGTCATAGGGGAAATCAGAACAGAGATAATCTCTCATTACAAAGAAATGTCAACAATAATAAAAGAACTCAAGCATATCTAAAGAAGGAACAGACAAATAAAATAGAGCAGCCTAGGGAAATGATAGAAACCTTGAATGCACAATATATGAAAGAAATAGAACATATGAAACACATTCAAAGAGATATCCAGGAAATTAAAAATTCCACTGAAAGTTGGCAAAATTGCTTCAACAAACTGAATACATACTTCAAACAGCAATCATAAAAGGAAAGATCTCATAAAAATATCAAAGAACCAGAAAATAATCCAACAGCTACAAAATAATGTGAACAAAAACAATATAATTTGACAGGTGTCAACATAAAAGCAAGAGTCAACACAAATAACAAAAAACGATTCTTTGCAGAAAAATAGCAGTACATTTTCCAAGCATGGGGTAAGTATGTGACATACACATAAGTGAGGTATACAAAACTCGAATGATCCATAACCAAAATAAATCTACACTCAGGTATATAATAAGTAAGACCCCAGGAGTTCAGCACAAGAATAGACTATTAAAAGCCATTAGAGAAAAGAAACAGATCAACTATAAAGGAAAGCCCATCGGAATCAAGGCAGACTTCTCAACATAAGGAAGTCAAGAAGAGCATGGACTAAAGTATTTCAAGTCCTCAAAGATAAAACTTCCAACTCATATTGATGTAGCCTACAAAACTATCTTTCAAAATTAATCCATAAATAAGATACCTCTATGGCAAAGAATAACTGAAAAAATTCATGACTTATCAAACCAAACCCAGTAAAGTGTACTAAAAGATGTTGTAGAAAGAGATAAAAATGACCTCAATTACCAGAACAATAACAGAAATAAAACAACCTACCAGGGCAAGCAATTAAACAGAGGGGAAAATTAGGGAACCAAAAGAAGTAAGATAACAAGACAAAGATAAGCCAATAACTATCAGTTATAACCATTAATGTAAATGACCTCAGCTCACCAATCAAAAAGACTGCCTGAGTGTATCAAAAAACAGTATCCAACAATATCTTGTATACAATAGACTAAAAGTCAAAACATGGAAAAATACACTTTGTGACAGGAACCAAGAAAAAAATAGGGGTAGCTATTCAGTTTTCAGACGATGTGAACTTCAAACCAAGATTGATCAAGATATAAAGAAGGTCACTACCTAGTTGTCAGGAGAAAACTTCAAGAGGTAGATATAACAGTGATAAATGCACATGCATCAGATATGGGGCCACTCAATTTTATAAGACAAATATTAATAGACATTAAAAATGAAATAACCAGTAACACAATTGTAATGGGAGACCTTAACACCCTATTGTCATAAAGAGATAGCTCAACTAGTGAAAAAGTCAATGAGGAAATAACAGAACTGAAGCAAGCTTGTGAACAAATGTACTTAGTAAATGCCTACAGTGTTTCCCCAACAACAGGAGATATACACATTCTTCTCAGCTTCACACTGCACATTCTCTAAAACAGATCATATACTAGTCCATAAAACATGCTTAAGTATATACAAAGTAGTTGAAACGAACAACACAAATAAACCACCTAATACTATACCTCAAGCTACTATAAAAAGCAGAGTAAGTCAAGCCTAAAGCCCCCAGCCCCAAAGGAGGAAATTACAAAGATCAGAGAAAAATTAATGCAATTCAGACAAAGAAAACAATACAAGTAATTACTGAATTAATCAGTTGGTTCTTTGAAAAAATAAACAAAATCGATAAACCTTGAGCCAACCCTATCAAATAAGGAAAGAATAAACTCAAATTAATGTAATAAGGAAAAGGGTGAAATCATTACAGATGCTATAATCAGAAGACCATCAATATCTACTTCAAAAATCTTTATTTTCAGAGGATGAAAAACACAGAAGTAATAGACAGATCCTTAGAAACTGAAAATTGCTGTGCCTATTTGGGATCTTCTTCCAAATTGTTTTGCTAATTCTACAAATGTCTTTGGTATTCAGATAGAGATTGCACTGGAACTGTAAGTGACTTTGGGCAGTACATATAATTTAATACTATTAATTCTTTCCCTTTATGACAAATGGATTTTACTCCATTTTTTATGCCCCCACAAATTCGCCTATAAGTGTTTTATATTATTCATTTTAGAACTCTATCATTTCTTAGTTTAAACTTATTTCTAGCTACTATATGTTAGTATGTATCATAAATATGATTGCTGTATTGACTTGTATATCAGACAATTTATTATTAATGCATAGTAAGATAGAGAATGTCAGGTTTTTGTACCTAAAAATTCTTCTAAATAACTGTTACTTATACTAGCATTGGGGTAGAGTTTGTTGTTTTCTGTCATTTCATCATGAATTGTTACAATGAAAAGTTTTATTTTTACAATTCATAGTAAGCACAAGTACAATAAGCAAGAAATGATGCCACTATTAGAAAAGTGTATCACAGAATGTTATAAGAGAGAAAGCAACTGCAGCAGAATGGCAAAACAATTTGCAGAATGTTTTAGTAAGGCTCCACATCTCAATGATTATGTTGAAAATAAATCAATTAAATTCTTCATTTAAAAGATATAAATTGACTAAAATGATAAAAAAAATCAACTGAATATTTCTTACTCATCTCTAAGGACATACAGAAAATAAAAATGGAGAGAAGAGAAAAGATATTTTATGAAATGAATAAAGTGAAAGAAGTAGCCATATTTAAATAAAATATAATTTATGTAAAACAATAAAAAGACAATGAAGGCTATTATACAATGATTAAGGATCAATCCAACAATAAGAATTCAAAATATGTATGTACTTAATAATGTGGTAGACCAGGTATAATGTCAAGTTTTTATCTCTCAATACATTTACTTGAAAATTTTCCCTCTTTTTTCTTAGGTAAAATAGCTAAGGACTTATATATTTTACTTCTGCTGAACTATTACAATGCCTGAATATGTACAGAAGATATTAATCAATCTAAGAGAGAGGAAACAGTACAAGAATAAAGGATTTTAACAGACAATTTATGTCACTGGACAAAATATCCGGACAGAATAAAATATCCAATTTAAATTTTACTTGAACCCAATTCCCCTTACCAAACATTTACAAAATTTCCATTTAGGAAATGTATATAGCACACATTCTTTTCAATGACGCATGTAATTATGCAGAATGAAACTTATCTCATATGGTTTAGATAGAAATGTCTCCAAAGCTTCATGTGTTCAGAGTGGGTTTTTGGAAAGTTATTGGATTATGAGTGCACTATACTCACAAGGAATAAATCCACTACTGTGTTCATTTACTATTAGGAGGGGAGGCCTGTTTAAGGGAGGTGGACCAAATGGGAGTGTGACCTGGATGGGTATAGTCTTAGCCCAACTCCTTCTTCCTTTTTTACCATTCCTCCATCAGGCCCTTCCACTATGAAATTTCTGTCAGTAGACCATACACTGACTGAATGCACAGAAACCATGAGCAAAACAAACAAACAACCAACAACAACAACAAAACCCCAAACCTCTCCTCCTTTGAATTGTAGATGTTGGGTATTTTGTTCCAATAATGGGAATGTGATCACTTCCACATTGTGGTATATCAATCAAATGTTAATTTTTAAAAAATCAAAACCTTGTGCATCTTTTCTGGAATTTTTTAAAAAATGGAAACTATACTAAAGATTACAGAGTAAAGTACAGTTTTAGTACAAGGAAAGTTTATAATAATT